TCCTTTCTCGTCCTTGATGGCGTCATATGGAAGTAGGATCCAAAATCCCTTCCTTCCAAAATCCAAAAACTCCTCCATCAGAAACTCTTTGAATTCGTTTGCTGATGAGTGACAGCCCCGAGCGACTTGCATGTCGAGTTGGCTCTGGCCCCATGGCTCCGAATGAACCACCACAGGAGCCCCATTTTTCATTACTCGGTATAGCATTGGTGCGGCAGGATGCGGAAGCTTATCAATGTCTGGTGCAGCATCATCTGAACGGAATAAACGAGCAGTGACTTGCCAACCGTGTTTTAAATAAGTTTCACTAGCCAACGCAACCAGCTCACCTATAGTATTAGCACTACCTCCAATTAAAGTAGATCGTAGCGAAAGTGGGTCCGATTGAGATGGCCTGCAAGAATCCAATGATTCCCGGCCTCCATCTCACTTATTCTTATTTACATAGTCCTTCATTGCGGTTGCTTCCTCGTCAGTCAGCTTACAATGGGAATGCTTACGTTCACAGTTCTCCTTGCATTCGCCCTTTGTGTGCCAAATGAGGCACAAATCCTTCCCGTTTGCGTGCTTTGAAGGCTGTTCGCCTGTCCGTTTGATTAACTCAGTAGTAGTTCTTCCGGTGTAGCGATGTTCTTTGTTCATGTCAGGATTTTTTACTGATTCGCTCAGGCTCTTCTTCTGGGCCCTTTCCTTCTCTCTCTTCAGCTGACTCTCAGTCTTGTCTCCTGTGCCACCAAGTCCGACAGAGTCCTTGGCAACAACAAACAAGTTTGACTCTGGTAGGCTTCCTCCATGGTAGCATGTCTCCATGTAGGTGCCCAAGTTGGGTAGGTTTTCTTCTGCGTTCATGCCGGATCTTACCAAACGCTCAAAGCAACGATCAATTTGGGAATAGATTCCGAAGAGAAATCGCTCGAGTGCTCGCTCCTGCTGGGACACTCCCATTTTTTGTGCGACCGAATCCACATTCTTTGCAAACTTTTTGTACACGGCTGTCAGTGGATGAGTTTTCCCAAACACTACACAGCAGAATACCCGCATACCATTGACCATCTCACGGAACTGCATGGGATCCTTTGGGAAGATAGCATGCTTGATCTTATCGTGGGCTTGATGATCCTTCATTGAAGCGGTTGTCTTTTTGCCCGTCAACCAATAATCGCTCTTGTTGTAATCGTTGATCGCGTTTGCATTTTTGTAGTGCTGGAAACAGACACTATTAAACACGTTCAAACCCTTTTCAACGTCGCCGCGCGAACAAA